GCAAGTTGCAGCAGCTGCAGGCGAAGCGCTACGCGGAGAAGAGGAAATTCGGCTTCGTGGACGCGCAGAAGGAGGACATGCCCCCCGAGCACGTCCGCAAGATCATCCGCGACCATGGCGACATGACCAACAGGAAGTTCCGCCACGACAAGCGCGTCTACCTGGGGTAACGCAGCCCCCCGCGGGCGCCGGGGACTCGCTCGTGGCCGCCCTGCTGCCTCCTGCGAGGACAGGCCGCTCCCCGAAGCGCTTTTGGTGCCTCTTGCTCGTAGTAAACAGCATAACGGCCTGAGGGAGATGTGTTTGTCACTTGTGCACTGGGGAAGGATATAAACAAAGGCTGCAGTTGCTTTGAATTTTTAAGAAAATCATCACCCTGCTTAGCAGATATGTCTTAAATGCAGTTTGAGGAAATGTGTGAGGGGGCCAACACATGTTTTTTTTGGACAGCTAATATATATTATCTATACTTCTTTGTTTTTTGGGCTCAAACTGCGATGCTTTGTGCTAGCTTGCAGCTATCTCTAGAAATTCATTTGAAATTAGTTTGGCTGGGTGGTTCTGATTTTCTCGCATATTACTCTTTCTGAAGCCAAAACAGCAGACTGGTAGTGAGATATATGAAGCACAATAATACACGGGTAGGAATGTTGTGATTTTGTCACAGATCAGATCAGACAAACAGTTTTCAGGAATAAAATATGTGTATTTACCTACTATTGACTAACCTAACTTCTTAGGCAGCAGTTTGCAGACAGATGGCTAATATCCAAGATCCCCTCCAGCCCTGTTTTCCTTTGCTTTCTCCCGCAGTGCTCTGAAGTACATGCCTCATGCTGTTCTGAAGCTCTTGGAGAACATGCCCATGCCTTGGGAACAAATCAGAGATGTCCCAGTCTTGTACCACATCACAGGGGCCATCTCTTTTGTGAACGAGATCCCCTGGGTCATAGAGCCCGTGTACATCGCGCAGTGGGGGTGAGCACCTTCTTCCTTAACCCCTGAGCAGGGAGCTCCTGCGTAAAAACTCTTGGATCTTCACTGATGTGACACTGCGCTTAACGGTCTTGGTTTCTGCCAGGTCCATGTGGATTATGATGAGGCGAGAGAAGAGGGATAGACGTCACTTCAAGAGGATGAGATTCCCTCCCTTTGATGATGAGGAGCCGCCTCTGGATTATGCCGATAACATCCTGGATGTAGAGCCCCTGGAAGCAATCCAGCTTGAGCTGGACCCAGAGGAAGATGCTCCTGTGCTGGACTGGTTCTATGACCACCAGCCGCTGAAGGACAACAGGAAGTATGTACATGAGCATGCATGTGAAAATCTCAATTTTTAAATTGGAATTTCAATTGGTATTTGTTAGGAGTGCCCTTATGTATCAAAGTTAGTTGAATGTGATGACTTCAGGGGTCGGTGTGTCAATCTGGATTTGGAAGAGAGGAACTGGACCAGTCAGTAACTGCTGGGCGGTTGTGGTCCATGAGGGTCTCAAGCAATCAGTCCTTCCACCTCGCCTTTTTGGGAGGGGCCCACGTGTTAGCTCTCTAGCTTTTTTTTTTTGTGTGTGTGTAAATATCAGGCAGTGAAAGATATTTTTATGGTTTTGCTTCTTTGGTAAAGGCCTTGTTGTCTTCTGCCAGGGTAGTGAGTGTTCCATTCTTTGTTCCTGCGCAGGTACGTGAACGGTTCCACGTACCAGCGTTGGCAGTTCACGCTTCCCATGATGTCCACGTTGTACCGGCTGGCCAACCAGCTGCTCACTGACCTTGTGGATGACAACTACTTCTACCTGTTTGACCTGAAAGCGTTCTTCACCTCCAAGGCCCTGAACATGGCTATTCCTGGAGGTCCCAAGTTCGAACCTCTCGTTAGAGACATCAATCTTCAGTAAGTGTTGAGTTTAGGAGGAAAAGTAAGTAGTGCTCTGGGTAAGTGTTGGGAGGGTCCTTGTGCCTTGTGCTGGCTGAGCTATTCCTGGGTGTTGTGTCTGTGAAGCAGAAAGTCAGTGATGCACTTGCTGATTAAAAAGCATTGAGTGGTTGTTAGTGTCAGGAGGAGACTCAGGGAAGAGGGCTGCTTATCACACCTCTGTTCAAAGATATTTGCCTTTCTATTCTGCTTGAATGTTTGTATGACAACTTCTTTTTGTCTCATTTGAGGGATGAAGACTGGAATGAATTTAATGACATCAACAAAATTATCATCAGGCAGCCGATCAGGACAGAGTACAAAATTGCTTTCCCGTACCTGTACAATAATCTGCCACACCACGTCCACCTGACCTGGTAAGTGCCGCAGCCTCAGGAGCAGGGAGAGCAGGACAAAGCTGTTGGGATGCTCTGACACTTGTTGTGTGTTGTAGGTACCACACTCCAAATGTCGTTTTCATCAAAACAGAAGATCCCGATCTCCCGGCTTTTTACTTTGATCCGTTGATCAATCCCATTTCACACAGGCATTCTGTCAAGGTGAGTACTATCCAAGAGAGACAGTGTACACAGGAAGAGTGTCTGTAGGAGAGCTCCTTTTGGCCTTGATAAACTCTGCATGTCGAGGGCATAGGGCCTTTAGCAGCTTGTGAGAACACTGCTCTGGCAGTGATGCACACGTGTGGATATCTCAGGAGAAGGCATAAGGGCCTTTCTCAGAAGGCCCGTGCCATCTTCCCTTATAAACCTTCTTGTCTTCTGGAGTTGCACCAAATTATGTCCTTTGGTC